AAAAAAAAAAAAGTGTTCAGTAGTCCTATTACACATGAGAAAAACTTGTTTTCAAACGGAGAAGGAGAAAAAGAATACTGCGTTCTGTGATTTATTTTTTATAAGGTATTTCTCCCGCCTTCATGGTGTAATGGTCAGCACGCTCGGCGCGTATTCGAGAGGTTCGATTCCTGCTGAGGGCATTGCTCATTTTTCACGTCTCCTGCTTTGAAATAACCTAATATCACTACAGTGGCGCCTGAACTAAAAAAGGTATTGGATGATAATTCTCCACAACCAGGATTTGGCGATTGGGTCTCCTGATCCCCAGTCGCCCTTTAAAATGGGGAGTATATAAGGCATTTCTCCCGCCTTCTTAGCTTCGCAGTGTAGTGGTCAGCACGCTTGGCGCGTATTCGAGAGGTCCGTGATTTGATTTCCGGCGAGGACATTGCTAATTTTTCACGTCTCCTGCTTCGAAATAACTTAATGTCTCTACAACTTTTTCAAATTTTTAAATTATAGAAAGCTGTTTTCACTAATTGTGAAACATATTTACGCAGTTACTAAGAAAGTGGTTAAAATTGCCATTAGAGTTTTCAGATACCAGTTACATCTGCAAATGATTTATATTCAGCAATATCTACACTGCCAAAAATTTGGTTCAAGGTTTCACCAAATTATGGTACCAAAACAGTTGCAACCACAAGATGGTGAAACGTTGTTCCATAATTTGGTGCTTTTATTATTAACAACTATTTGAACCATTAAACAGAAATAGCTTACACCATAATTTAATTATATTTGCCATTAACTGCAAGGCACAGGAAATTATATGAGAGCCCAAGCATAAAATTCCACATTAGCCATTTTCTGCTGATTCTTCTGGTGGTATTTTTTAAATTCCATTATTGCTATTGATATGCTTATTAATAATTATTGCTATAGGTTATTAATTATTTAATAACGTAATTACTATTCATTATATAATAATTAATAACTTATAGCAATAGTTATTACACGAAAATAATAATGAAAGCGTTTCTTATTAGAATTGGTAATGCTTCTTGAATAATCCAATGACAATTAAAGAAATAAAATTCCTACGAAGAAAAGTAATTATTTACTTAAATTTCAAAAAATTGTTCCGCCGAAATTTAAATTCTCTTTAAAAGAAACAGAATTTAGGAAAATCAAACTAAAAGCATAAAAATTAAGAGAAGCTGACAATGAAACTGTTCTTTTCTCACATAAAACTTCAAAGATTTTTATTCTACAGTCATGAAATGGTCTACTGAGTTTCGCAAAGAATTTCCATTTGGTAGCTTTTCTCTTTATGCGGTTATATGGAGCGTTTTGTGTTTTAGTTTCCCTTACTTCTAAAAGGCTTTATTAGGGCATATTTTACGACTCGCAAAGCAACCGAAACTTGACTTACTCATAACGACCTCTAATGCTTGGCAAACAATACCAATAACAACAATAAAAAAAATATTATCATTCTCGCAGAGCAGGATTATATTACTATCATCCTAGGGAGTTTTCGTCCAGCCACATACAAAATGATCAATTCGTAAATTCAAAGTTCCCCCCCCCCCACAAGCGCAATAAAATCTTCCACGAGACGTAAGAGATTCATACATTCTCGAAAAGTGCAAGACGTGAGACGGAGTGCATCATTTTGTTCCCTTATGCGCTATTATTCATTCTCGAAGAAATCTCAAGTTGAGGGTGTGATAAATTATCTTCTGTTGCCTCCCGAAACGCAAAATACGATTTCTGGAAAATTTTGACCTCCAGCAAACAACACCGCTTCTTTCCTACTTTGGTGAAAATCCTAGGCGAAAATAAACCGCCTACGGGGACACTAGGGTGGAAAAAGAAGTGGAAATGGGAATAAGTTTTCTTTTTTCTTGAAAGAAGAAATCACGATAGGACTTCGGGGACTGTAAGGAAGTAAGTGCTCGGTTTTCTCACGGTCACTGCAGTTAATGAATGATAATGCAGTCAAGACTTGTGTCAACCCAATTCCCTTGCAAACAGACGTGACGACACTTTAATTCACAGAGAAGGTAAGATGCTCAGGAGTAGTCAATTACCTTCGATCGTGACCTAGAATGTCTACGCCTTACAATGTCCGTCTTCTGTTGCTTTCAGTACTAAAAAGACATGAAAAAAAAAAAAAATTCAGCTGTCCAATGGCCTGTTACATGCAACAGTTAGATAATCTTCTCGGCATACTAGAAAAATTAAATCCTTACAACAATAACAAAATCAACATACTATGAAAAGTACAACGCGAAATACAACATACTTTCGTAATAACGAGATTTTTTTTTTAATTAGGATGAATAGTTTTACAACATTACAACCTTTGATGTTTCCCTGCTAATCACCATAATCTCACACTCATCCATTGAAGTATTCTATGAACGACATTTTTTTTTAAGAATAAAGTTAGGCTGATATGTTTTTTCAAACACAAATAATTTAATAATACAGACTTTCCTTTACAAGATTTATCATCTACTCAGAGAACAGAAATATAATGTGACATATCTAAACGTTAAGAGATATCCATCGGCTATTACTGCCATCTAGTACAACGAAACATTGAGAGATACTGTACTGCCTGTACGTTAATACTGCGTCATAATAATGCTCATACGAAAACGAATGAAACAAAGAACATGAGTTGCGTCTTGCGGGGAAACTATGATTTATGGGAAGGGAGCGGTGAACCTTATGGGCAGAGCAAGCGTTTCGTGGCACGTTGGTCAGAAGAAATGACCCATGAGAGACGTGGAATAAGGAGAATTTCCCCATTGAATCAGGCAGTAGATTGCATTCCCTCCTAACCGTAAGTGGCACTCGCCGTGAAGCGAATGTATTTATCAGAGTTAATACAATATTATAAATAATGCAAATATCCAAATGAAATTTACTATTTTTGCATTAAAACATGCAGAACTAAGTTTTATTTGATGCATCACTTATATCTAAGTTACAGTATGATTGGCCTACAAGTGGTCAAATATTAAGGATAATAGCCGAAGTCCTAATACTTTAATAAACCTTATTTGGCTCATTAATTCACTATTCATAGACTAGACTTAGTTGTCCATGCTAATTTACTGCTTATTCAAATAAGAAGAAGAAAAATAAGAAAATAATAAGAAGAAAAATATAAAAGGAAATAAAGTTAAACTAAAATATTAATTGGATTCTTCAAATTTCAGAAAGTCATAACAAATTATTATTGAAAGGTTCTTCAGCAATCTGGAAGACTTAGAATAAGGATTCAATATAGGGTCGGCATTGACACCCCCGGATGATCAAAGAGTCGACAGCCGAATATGGACTGGCAATTGATCGGCAAAATCAAGATCTCACTGATTACAATAATATTTATTCATAAACCTGATAATTAATTGTTCATTGATATAAAGCTATACCCTGAATAAGGAATAAATCATACGAAATTAATAACCGTAAGTGGTAGATAGGAAGGGAAAAATATACTAAACTGATTCAACGCATTTTTTAATGAATAATATTTCTTTAAATAAATAAATTTCTTAATGTAATAAATGCGATATTAAAAGGTAAGACGCAAGAACACACGAAAACAGAACAGAAAATACGAAAAACGAGAAACTGGAACTGAAAAAAAGAAACAGGTTTGAATATGTTTTGAACAAAGTGATTTTAGAAATATGCAATTTTATATCAAAAATGTAAGAAATTGCATCAATAAATGAAGCGCAGCCGTCAAATTATTTTAAATCTAACTTTTGTGCATTTAGAATCTGTGATTTCGTTTTTGAAAACTTTTTCATATTTGTAAAATTAATACTTAAGTACTTACGTATTAATTTTACAAATTATTTAAATAATGAAACATAAATCTAAATCAACAATTTTTTTTTTCAAAACTTTGTTCATATTACCAGTTTAATGATTATCTTTCAGTTATTTATGTGCAATTATTTCTATCATTATATGCTCTATATTATAGAGAAGAATCTAAGGGTATCGATGAAGAAAACCAGTGACTTAAGGTCGAGGCAAGAAGAGAGTTGGGAATCTCAAGCCTAGAACTTGAACTTCAATGTCCGTGACTGAAGCTGAGTAATTCTAACCCGAAACGGGTTCGGAGCTTTATTAGAAGGACGGCTAATTAAACTAAAAACACCTATTTTCAATTTGCTTCTACTATAAGTAAATTTATAACATTTAGCATTTCAAGCACTGCGTAAATTCCCATTTAGCTATTGGCAGACTAGCGTAGGTGAACGACAGCGAAAGCAACACCTATTTTCAATTTGCTTCTACTATACGTAAATTTATAACATTTAGCATTTCAAGCACTGCGTAAATTCCCATTTAGCTATTGGCAGACTAGCGTAGGTGAACGACAGCGAAAGCTTCAAGCAGCAGACGATTCACGAAGGAACATCGCTGTCCTGATGGATGAGGCTCCTTCCTGAATTCTTCTTCTTATTTTTAAGGTAATAAAAAGGTACACTGCTTTTAAGGAATTAAGATTTATTTCAAATTTTTCTACATTTGCTATTTCTTTTCAAATCAATATCGCTCTTAAAACTAAGCAAATTTAATCAGTATTTTGGAAGGTAAAGTAATCGCCAAGGCATTCACGCACTTGCAGCGATAAATTGATTTAATATATTAACTGCAGCACGAAGTTTTGAAAAATGCTTCATTTCGTAAACTCTCAACATACCAAACATTCTAGATATTAATTGAACATGAACTACAGAATTTCTAAACTTTTGTCCAGTCCTCGAAAGTTGCAGAGAAACCGTAATTGCTATTAAGTTTTGTATCAACAACAAACTTAAGTTATCATACATTTTTGGGTTTTTGCTTATTTTCAATAATTTTTTTCTTCTATATTAAAATTTAATTAAGACTGATAGATAAGCTCAAAATTCGAAAAAACATAACTAATTATTAGTTAGCTAGTACAGATTAGAAAAGGATTAGAAAAAAGAACTTACAACGGCAGTCTTAAGCAAGTGCTTGCATTAATTCCAGTTAAATCAGTAGCATCCCTTTAAAACTCCTATAAAGAGATAAAAATCATTGTTAATTTTTTGTTTTTCAGAAATCAAGTCCTTTATTAAAATTGCTCTTCATATATAAATATCTAAATTCTCTCTCTTTATAGACTTTTTACGGAATTTCTAGCAAGTTTCTTTCATTTTTACTTCTTTGTAAGAAGTAAAGGAAGTATTTTAATTTTGGATACCATATTTCAACGAAAATATCCATTGTGACCGCTCTCGAATCCATTTAAACAAAGTTTTTGAGTGACATCTTTACGCACGGACAGAATAAAGGACTCCTTTTTTCGAAAATGGATATAAAATAGATTCAGAAGCGATTTTATTGTTTGTTTATTTATTTATTTTTTCCAATCTTTAACTGTTCAAAAGGTAATGTGGAACGAAACTTTATTCAATTGTGCAAAAAAGTTAAATGTATCACACACAACAATTGAAAATCACGTAAGATGTCTTGAACTGGTTAAGAAGCTCGATATTTAGATTCCGCTTGAATTAAAGAAAATTCACTGTACAAAACGAATCAATATTTACTATACGCATTTCAAACGTAATGTAATCGATCCTATTTTGAAACGAATTATCGCTGGTGAAGAAAAATGGATCGTCTACAATAACATTAATGAAAAGGATTACGGACCAAGCAAAATGAATCAGCACAAATCATATCGAAAGCTAAATTGCATCAAAAAAGATCATGCTGTAAATATGGTGGGATTTCAGAGGTGTTGTTTATATTGAGCAGCTTCCAAGCAGCCAAACTCAGATGTTTCTTGACAACAACTGACGAAACAGGAAGCAGTCAAAGATAAAAATCGCAAAGGAATTGTGTTCCACCACGACAATGCGAGGCCTCACACATGTTTTAGCAACATGTACGAAATTAGTGGAGCTTAGTTAGGAAGCGATGTCGTCTGCCTCATATAGCCCTGACCTTGCACCATCGGATTATCCTTTATTTAGAAGTCAATAAAACGTCTTACATGGTAAAAATTTCAGTGATAAGGATGACCTCAAATCAGACTTGGTTAAGTTTTTTGCCGATAAAGACTAGAAGTTCTATGAAAGCGGAATTATGAAGTTATAAGGACGATGGCAAAAGGTCATCGAACATAATGGAAAGTATTTGACTGATAAATGTTCAGTTTTTGCGTAGGAAAACCTGAGCTTTATTTCACACTAAAAAACCGAAATTACGTTCGTGCGAACCCGATATATATATAAATATATATATTATCGTATAATAATAATTTTATAAATTAAATGTAATGAAGAACCTAATTGTAATTTTTGACGGAAATACTAATCAGTATCTTTCAATTTGTTGTACGTGACTAAAACAAAGACATTAAATGTAATACTTTCTCAACTAGAAAAGTAAGTTAAAGATTTTCCTTTTAATACATTCCAATTATCAATTTCAAGACATTCGCAGAGAGAGAGAGAGTTATTTCAAAACTAATTCCTGAACTGTATATTTATTCCTAAGTTTCATAAATTATGAAGTTGTGAAGTTTCATGCTTTTATCTGGAAATCAAAAGCTCTTATGCTCGATTATATCAATTACCTTTATTTCTTTCTATTCGCAACAAGTTTTACGATGGCAGGATTGCTCAACTCAAAGAATACTGAAAAGCAACGTATAAGAGATTATCGTTTATGTTATTATTGATTCCCTAACTGCATCAAGATTTCAGATGGCTACAAACATAAACACGAGAAACTTCCACAACACAATCGTTAATATTTGATTCTAATGCAAGAATAAAATATTCGTGCTTTATGAGAAAAGCACTAAAGCCTCATAGCACGCAAAGGATAACAATTTCAGCTTCCATTCACGCTTTATTTGTGAAACGGTAGGGTATAAAATTTTACGTGCAAGATTTCAACGAGGGGCGAAGGATGCATAAAAACGAAGGGAAGAAAGACAAACTCAACTAGCCAATTTTCTCCATCCGAAAAAATAATTCTTTTTATAACTTTCATTACATACTTTAGAAAAGATCAAATTATAATGTTAAGCAAGAAAATTTTAATAATTAAAAAAGTGACGATTCTTCTTATTTAATAATTTCAATGCTTCTACGGCACCACCGAAAATCCAACCTCTTTCTTATGACTTGATGAGAGTTTTAAGGAAATCGTTGTAATCCAAAATACTTTTTCGTAAAATATTAAATCCTCATTATTAAATTATTGTGTTAATTGCTTTTAAAATTATTTTTTAATATTTCCAACACCTTTTTTAAAAAATTTTGGCTGCAGTATAAAAGAAACTGCATAATGCAGAAATTTATTCTATTTTTTTGTTTTCAAGATCAGAGGGGGGGGGGAGGTATCACGGATTTTCATCAAAATGCGAATTTTGATCATCCTTGAAATTGAATTTATTTAAAATAATGATATTCTGAACTTTCTATTTTCAGAATATGAGACAGGAATAATATAGCTGAAAAATACTTAAAATTTTCATCATACGCACTTGTAATGGTTATTTATGCATTGACCCACGGCGTAAACATTAAATTAGTAGCCCTGCGTACAAGACATATTTGTTTACCCATTAATATTTATTTATAGGTTGCAAATCTGCCAAACATTATTAGCCAATTTTTTTAGAATTATTAAACTATTTTATGTTGTTTTTTTTAAAAAAATTAATTTAATATTTAAAATACATATTAATTTAATATTTTAAATTATACACTATTAATTATAAAGCGTTTCTATCACTTAAACCTTTTCTATCATTTAAACGGAGAAAAAATTACCATGCTAGTAAAATTAATGATTTTCTGAGCTTTACTTCGTCTACATACATGAAGAAGTGATTCTGGTAATAAAATTAGTTATAAGAAGATTTTGGAAAGCTGGAATTTTTCTGTAGTTTATTAGTGTTTGTACATCCCAAGTGTTTCTTGGCGTTTGAGACGAGGTACGAGCACCGTTGTTATTCTCGACGTATTTATATTGCTCGGTATACAAAACTGACATTTCAGTTAAAAAAAATTCCTCGGTATACAAAACAGACATTTCAGTTAAAGAAAAATTCCATCTTAAGAAAGCAGTTCATATGAAGATAATTTTTCTCCGCAAACCACTGAACCGAAAACCTGCAGTCACAGCCACCTGATCAAACTTGTTTATGAGCCGCAGGGTGAAATCCATTTGATAAAAAGCAACTTCCTGTTGAAAAGTGCAAATGTTTCCCGGCGCCCTAAGCGTCAAACTAATTTCTCTCTACTAAAGATACAACACAAGATTTAAATGATTTTAAAGAAATGGAATTGCACAACACAAGTTAGCAAAATATTTTAAAAACCGTCTCTGTAATAAAAATGGGTAAAATAACTTCATGAGAACACAAATAATACATGCGGAAATGGGGAGGGGGAGGAAAGGGAACTGAGATAAAAGTACCTGCGAGATCTGTAATCAATGGCTGACATATCTGTAAGCAATGGCATGTTGCCAATCCACAGTGAATGACTTCAAATTATTAACATTAAATTGTTTATTAATCCAAGCGCACCGGTGTGTAACGTGTACTTATAATTTCAAACTACACTTTTTAAAATTTTTAAGTATATGCGTCGCATAACGCGCACCCTTTTCTTTACGAAGAAACCTGGAAGATAACATGTGCAATGCTCTTAGCTTTTGAAATCATTCATTCGAAGAGTTTCCTTTTTTTTTAACACTGAAATGACAAGCGATAAAGGGAAGAATTCGTATGCGGGGGAAATGCTTAAGGAAGTAAATAGTTCTGCAAGGAGAGTGCGTTGTATTCAGTGCAGGTGTGCAGAAGAACGTTATTCTAGAATTTCAACAAGAAGGTGACATAATTTGGGATATGAATGTACTTCCGACCCGAATGAATTCGCGGAATAAGGAGCCAGATGTCCACATTCAAATACTAGGTTAAGAATTATAAGGGAGTGTGAGAGGCAGAAACAAAGGTGTGAAACAGGAGGTGTTTAAAACAATTTTTTTACGCCAGAAAAAAGACCATCAAAATAGTTTTTAAAATCGGGACATGAAATATGAACTTAACGAACAGATTGTCATCAATGGCAAAATTATTTTGAATGTTCGCATATTTCTGCGGACACGTTTTTTAAAGGATTCCAAGGGTTATTTCGATAAGTGCTGGAATTACATTTGAACAAACAGCTACTTTATAATAATCAAGGTAAATGTATATTCTTTAATTATAGAATGCATGAGAAATAACTTTATGAAGTCATCTTATGTCATTATTATAATTAGTATAACGAGTTTCTATTATAAAATATTCCATACCACGGCTGTAGAAGATTTTGAGAAATAGCGAACGTTTTCCACGTTGCCTAGCAAGTGATTTCAGTGTATAACTTCAAATCGACTACAGTCATTATCATACAAAGATTTTATAAACAGAAATAATTATGACATGGAATTATATTTTGAATAAGTTGAAAGAATTTGTCTTACAATAACTAGAGATACTGCGGTTCACAGCCCAATCGATATTCTTTTCGGTCAACAAGTCATTTAAAAATCAAAAATAGCGTCTTCAGTCAGCTGTATAACCGCGTATGTAGAATGAAACCGCTACTCGCACTCAATTTATATCGAGTATCCAAATATTAAATAGGCGGTGATGGTTGACTAGTCACATAGAAAACTACATGTTGCATAACGTACTTTTACAAATGACTGTAACATTTCAGAGATACCAATGATTTTAATTTTACGGCCCTAAATATCTAATGGAAGCACATTGTTTGGTTTGACACGTAACTTTCTGTATGAATACTATATTCATGCAGAGAGTATTGTACTGCATGAATGCCAGGACTCAATATTTTTTAATGGAAGTATTCTGATTATATAAAGTTAAAATAAGAAAAACCTGTGACATTTTTCAATCTCTTTTTATATTTGGAAAGCATGCTGCCTTTAATTTAAAACTGTAAATTACCGTTCATCATTTTTCAAAACACGCTTCAGGAC